GGGAAGGTACTCCGGTGGATAGAGGAATACCTAAGCAACAGGAGACAACGAGTCTGTGTGAGGGGTGAGGTCTCAGATTGGCGAGACGTCACAAGTGGAGTCCCGCAGGGGTCAGTCCTTGGACCTATACTGTTTCTGGTATATGTAAATGATCTCCCAGAGGGTATAGATTCGTTCCTCTCAATGTTTGCCGACGATACAAAAATTATGAGGAGGATTGAAACAGAGGATGATAGTAGGAGGCTACAAGATGACCTGGATAGACTGAGTGAATGGTCCAACAAATGGCTGTTGAAGTTCAACCCGAGTAAATGCAAAGTAATGAAACTAGGCAGTGGAAACAGGAGGCCAGGCACAGGATACAGAATAGGAGATGAAGTACTTAATGAAACAGACAGAGAGAAAGATCTAGGAGTTGATATCACACCAAACCTGTCTCCTGAAGCCCACATAAAGAGAATAACGTCTGCGGCATATGCGAGGCTGGCTAACATCAGAACGGCGTTCAGGAACCTGTGTAAGGAATCATTCAGAATCTTGTACACCACATATGTAAGACCAATCCTGGAGTATGCGGCCCCAGCATGGAGCCCGTACCTTGTCAAGCACAAGACGAAGCTGGAAAAAGTCCAAAGGTACGCTACTAGACTAGTCCCAGAACTAAGAGGCATGAGTTATGAGGAAAGGCTGCGGGAAATGCACCTCACGACACTGGAAGACAGAAGAGTAAGGGGGGACATGATCACAACCTACAAAATCCTCAGGGGAATCGACCGGGTAAACAAGGATGAACTTTTCAACACTGGTGGGACGCGAACAAGGGGACACAGGTGGAAGCTGAGTACCCAAATGAGCCACAGAGACGTTAGAAAGAACTTTTTCAGTGTCAGAGTAGTTAGCAAATGGAATGCATTAGGAAGTGATGTGGTGGAGGCTGACTCCATTCACAGTTTCAAATGTAGATATGATAGAGCCCAATAGGCTCAGGAATCTGTACACCAGTTGATTGACGGTTGAGAGGCGGGACCAAAGAGCCAGAGCTCAACCCCCGCAAGCACAATTAGGTGAGTACATTTGGGGCCTGGTAGCCTGGTGGATAGCGCGCAGGACTCGTAATTCTTCGGTGCGAGTTCGATTCCCGCACCAGACAGAAACAAATGGGCAAAGTTTCTTTTACCCTGAATGCCCCCTGTTACCTAGCAGTAAATAGGTACCTGGGAGTTAGTCAGCTGTCACGGGCTGCTTCCTGGGGTGTGTGTGTGTGTGTGTGTGTGTGGTGTAGAGAGAGAAAAAAAAAGTAGTTAGTAAACAGTTGATTGACAGTTGCGAGACGGGCCGAAACAGCAGAGCTCAACTCCCGCAAACACAACTAGGTGAATATATAATAAAAAATGTGGGGCCGGGGATTTTCCAAAACATCTTTAGTTTTCCTAATACAAATAGACAAAGTTCCCCCCAAAATTATGCAAATATATCATGTTTTATTGCTATTATAAAATCAATAAATGAACATAGGAAAAAACAGACGGCGGATTTTAAAGACATAAACTTTACATATAAGGTGTAAGTTTCTTGTAAATTGAGTAAACTTAGAAAGAGTTATACGAAGATTTATGTAACTTGAAAAAAAAAGTAAAAAATATAGTCTAAGGTTCTGCCATCTGTGGCTGAGGTTGACATCAACCAATTTCCTCCAAAATTGGCACCCTTACAGATAGGCTTACGTGCCGTCAGGTGTATATGTTTCATGCAAATCGTTCGATAAACAAATAACACAAATGAAAAAAAAATTAACTTATTTTTTTTAATAAAACTAATTTTTTTTAATATATGCTGTTGTGATAGCTGGGATAAACACCTCCAAATGATACCTGATCAACCAGGCTGTGATTCATACGTTAGGCTGCGAGCAGCCGCGTCCAACAGTCCAGCAACGAGGAGGCCTGGTCGACGACCGGGCCGCGGGGACGCTAAGCCCTGGAACAACTCCTAGGTAAGGTAAGGGGAGTTGCACCTCATGACACTGGAAGACAGAAGAGTAAAGGGAGACATGATCACTACCTACGAAATTCTCAGAGGAATTGAGAGGGTAGATAAGGATAAACATTTTAACACTGGTGGGACGCGAACAAGGGTCCCACCAGTGTCCCACCAAAAATAGGGTTACCTATTTTTGCTTCCGACATTGTTCCTGCCCTTCTAACGTCATGCTGAATCTTAGACTCGGACACAAGTTGTTGTTTAAGATTCAGCTGCTGGGAACAAAAAGTTCCAAGTGGAACTTACCTGGCACAGGAGCGGGGCTGTAACTTGTGTACTCGGACACAAATCTGCTGTGCTTGTGTAGCGTCTGACAGGCGTGTTTGGAAGGACGCCTGACAGCTGAGTGGACAGTGCTTCGGATTCGTAGTCTGGAGGTTCCGGGTTCGATCCCCGGTAGAGGCGGAGATAATTGGGCAAAAAGTTTCTTTCACCCTAATGCGCCTGTTACCTAGCAGTAAATAGGTACCTGGGAGTTAGACAGCTGCTACGGGCTGCTTCCTGGGGGTTTGTAACAAAAAGGAGGCCTGGTCGAGGACCGGGCCGCGGGGACGCTAAGCCCCGAAATCATCTCAAGATAACCTCTGCTCTGTCTGCTGTATTTGTGTAGCCTGCACACTGTGCTATGTTAGTGTAGTGTATGGTCAAACCTATTGGGCTATGGTTGTATGGTGGCCTCCCCAACTATACACGTCTAACAGCCCTGCTCTTCCCCGTTCACTTGCAGATCCTGTCGTGTTAAAGGAGAAAGCTGGCTTCGTTAAAGTCCAGCATCACCTTGGATTATACTCTACCATTTCCACCTGCCACTCCCCCACTCCAATTTACACGGGCTCACCATAGCCTGTGCTGCTTGGAACGTTTTGTTCCAGGTAGCGATTCTTTAACAACAACAACATCACTCCAACCACTTGGGCTGGACGGTAGAGCGACGGTCTCGCTTCATGCAGGTCGGCGTTCAATCCCCGACCGTCCAAGTGGTTGGGGATTGAATTCCTCCCCCCCCGTCCCATCCCAAATCCTAATCCTGACCCCTTCCCAGTGCTACATAGTCGTAATGGCTTGGCGCTTTCTCGTGATATTTCCCTCCCTCCCCGCTGGTCCCCTGGACCTAGGGGTCCCTCCCCCCCCGTCCCTATGTGGCCTGGAGTGTCCCTGGTCCCAGGGGCGCTCTAGTGCACCAGCCCTAACGTACGCCTTTCATCTTGTTACAAGTAGTTGTATATTTGGACACTACAACTTGCCCTTTAGGGTCAAACGGTCATACAAACTACCATAAGTTATAGTTTTGTTGACTATGTCAATTAACCAGGTAAGTACTATCTTATCATGAGGTTATTTCGGGGCTTAGCGTCCCCGCGGCCCGGTCCTCGACCAGGACTCTTTTTGTTACACATCCCTCGGGAAGCAGCCCGTAGCAGCTGTCTAACTCGCAGGTACCTATTTACTGCTAGGTAACAGTAGCATCAGGGTGAAAGAAACTTTTTGCCCATTTGTCTCCACCTCCACCGGGGATCGAACCCGGAACCTCAGGACTAGGAATCTGAAGCGCTGTCCACCCAGCTGTCAGGCGCCCTAGACATGTACTATGAGTGTACTTCATGATGAAATCCTCGTGTTGCTGTATCAACCAGAGTTGTTACATTCGTGTACAGCCAGCAGCAGGTGTAGCGTTACGGGCGGGTCCTTAATACTGTGTTCCCTGGAACACCACCCGCCAAATGGTTTAACAACCAGGTACTGGTACTGGTTTACTGCTGGGTGAACAAAAGCTACAGTTAAGGTTTAGCGCCCAGTCAATCCTCCCCGGCCAGGATACGAACCCAGGCCAAAGCGCTCGCGAAACGCCAGGCGAGTGTCTTACCACTACGCCACGGGGACTGCATATGTAAAGTAAACCAAACTATTTACATATTTTGAAGTGGTACCTAATGAGGGGCACATATTGGGGAAGGGAAGAGAATTATCAGGAGAACGTGCCAAGCCACTGCGACTACCTAACCTTGAGGTGGTTTGGTGTGGACTAAGTAGCTCTATGGAAAGGATGGGGAGGTGGGATAGGACAGAGGATAGGAATGGTACCCAACTACTTCCTTGAACGGTCGGGGATTGATCACCGACCATTTAGGGGGTCTGTAATTGTGAAAAGATTAATGTTCTACAGTTAACACATTGCCAATACTGGATAATATCCCTACGTAAACTCTCTAAACCACTGGACAGAATCACTACGTAAATTATCTTAACCACTGGACAGAATTACTACCTAAATTATCTTAATCACTGGACAGAATTACCGTAATATATAATATATTCGCGTACCATTTTTTTCTGAAAAGTTTATTTTCTTTAAAGAAATACTTTAGTGGGCGTTCACGAGGGAATGTATAGAGCACACCCAGGGGGAATGTGATCAATCGGGCTGTGATTCCTACGTCAGGCTGCGTGCAACGGTCATCGGCCGGTGGTACGGGAACAAGGGGACACAGGTGGAGACAGAGTACCCAAATGAGCCACTGGGACATTAGAAAGAACTTTTTCAGTGTCAGAGTAGTTAACAGGTGGAATGCATTAGGCAGTGATGTGGTGGAGGCCGACTCCATACACAGTTTCAAGTGTAGATATGATAGAGCCCAATAGGCTCAGAAATCTGTTCACCAGTTGATTGATGGTTAAGAGACGGGACCAAAGAGCCAAAGCTCAATCCCCGCAAGCACAACTAGGTGAGTTTGCTTGCGAATACTCACATACATTTATTTATGTATATAGTTTGATATCCTCATATATAGTTATTGTCTGTTATCCACCGTCTTAAAATGGGTTGATTGAAATCTTCAAGGATGAGTCATAGGTATATCAAGCAGGTATATCTGCCACTTTTTATTCACTGATTGTTATTGATCTGTTACGTGAATTCCAGACCGTTACATGTGGAATTGTTGTGTTAGGATGATTACATATTATCTCTCCTCCACCATGATGCCAGGCACCTCCACCATGATGCCAGGCACCTCCACCATGATGCCAGGCACCTCCACCATGATGCCAGGCACCTCCACCATGATGCCAGGCACCTCCACCATGATGCCAGGCACCTCCACCATGATGCCAGGCACCTCCACCATGATGCCAGGCACCTCCACCATGATGCCAGGCACCTCCACCATGATGCCAGGCACCTCCACCATGATGCCAGGCACCTCCACCATGATGCCAGGCACCTCCACCATGATGCCAGGCACCTCCACCATGATGCCAGGCACCTCCACCATGATGCCAGGCACCTCCACCATGATGCCAGGCACCTCCACCATGATGCCAGGCACCTCCACCATGATGCCAGGCACCTCCACCATGATGCCAGGCACCTCCACCATGATGCCAGGCACCTCCACCATGATGCCAGGCACCTCCACCATGATGCCAGGCACCTCCACCATGATGCCAGGCACCTCCACCATGATGCCAGGCACCTCCACCATGATGCCAGGCACCTCCACCATGATGCCAGGCACCTCCACCATGATGCCAGGCACCTCCACCATGATGCCAGGCACCTCCACCATGATGCCAGGCACCTCCACCATGATGCCAGGCACCTCCACCATGATGCCAGGCACCTCCACCATGATGCCAGGCACCTCCACCATGATGCCAGGCACCTCCACCATGATGCCAGGCACCTCCACCATGATGCCAGGCACCTCCACCATGATGCCAGGCACCTCCACCATGATGCCAGGCACCTCCACCATGATGCCAGGCACCTCCACCATGATGCCAGGCACCTCCACCATGATGCCAGGCACCTCCACCATGATGCCAGGCACCACCACCATGATGCCAGGCACCTCCACCATGATGCCAGGCACCTCCACCATGATGCCAGGCACCTCCACCATGATGCCAGGCACCTCCACCATGATGCCAGGCACCTCCACCATGATGCCAGGCACCTCCACCATGATGCCAGGCACCTCCACCATGATGCCAGGCACCTCCACCATGATGCCAGGCACCTCCACCATGATGCCAGGCACCTCCACCATGATGCCAGGCACCTCCACCATGATGCCAGGCACCTCCACCATGATGCCAGGCACCTCCACCATGATGCCAGGCACCTCCACCATGATGCCAGGCACCTCCACCATGATGCCAGGCACCTCCACCATGATGCCAGGCACCTCCACCATGATGCCAGGCACCTCCACCATGATGCCAGGCACCTCCACCATGATGCCAGGCACCTCCACCATGATGCCAGGCACCTCCACCATGATGCCAGGCACCTCCACCATGATGCCAGGCACCTCCACCATGATGCCAGGCACCTCCACCATGATGCCAGGCACCTCCACCATGATGCCAGGCACCTCCCCCTATCACAAGCCTGCGGTAACAATTATCTGTGCATATTATTGTTGTTTTAGATTCAGCTGCACGGAACAAAAAGTGGCAAGTAGCACGGGCTATGGTGAGCCCGTAGTGGACTTACCTGGCACAGGAGCGGGGCTATGGTGAGCCCGTAGTGGACTTACCTGGCACAGGAGCGGGGCAAGTAGCACGGGCTATGGTGAGCCCGTAGTGGACTTACCTGGCACAGGAGCGGGGCAAGTAGCACGGGCTATGGTGAGCCCGTAGTGGACTTACCTGGCACAGGAGCGGGGCAAGTAGCACGGGCTATGGTGAGCCCGTAGTGGACTTACCTGGCACAGGAGCGGGGCAAGTAGCACGGGCTATGGTGAGCCCGTAGTGGACTTACCTGGCACAGGAGCGGGGCAAGTAGCACGGGCTATGGTGAGCCCGTAGTGGACTTACCTGGCACAGGAGCGGGGCAATTAGCACGGGCTATGGTGAGCCCGTAGTGGACTTACCTGGCACAGGAGCGGGGCAAGTAGCACGGGCTATGGTGAGCCCGTAGTGGACTTACCTGGCACAGGAGCGGGGCAAGTAGCACGGGCTATGGTGAGCCCGTAATGGACTTACCTGGCACAGGAGCGGGGCAAGTAGCACGGGCTATGGTGAGCCCGTAATGGACTTACCTGGCACAGGAGCGGGGCAAGTAGCACGGGCTATGGTGAGCCCGTAGTGGACTTACCTGGCACAGGAGCGGGGCAAGTAGCACGGGCTATGGTGAGCCCGTAATGGACTTACCTGGCACAGGAGCGGGGCAAGTAGCACGGGCTATGGTGAGCCCGTAATGGACTTACCTGGCACAGGAGCGGGGCAAGTAGCACGGGCTATGGTGAGCCCGTAATGGACTTACCTGGCACAGGAGCGGGGCAAGTAGCACGGGGTATGGTGAGCCCGTAATGGACTTACCTGGCACAGGAGCGGGGCAAGTAGCACGGGGTATGGTGAGCCCGTAATGGACTAACCTGGCACAGGAGCGGGGTTGTAACTTAAAAGCATTCAGAGATTCATTTAAAATGATTCATTGAAGCATTTTACAATAGATACAGATTCCTCTTTAATATACAAACCTTCTTCTCCACTTTATCTATTTCCTTTGTCATTCTGACTTCACACATACCTTACCTTGAGGTTACCTTGAGGTGATTCCGGGGCTTAGCTTCCCCGCGGCCCGGTCGTCGACCAGGTCTCCTCGTTGCTGGACTGGTCAACCAGGCTGTTAGACGCGGCTGCTCGGAGCCTGAAGTATGAGTCACAGCCTGGTTGATCAGGTAGGATCAGAACATCATGTGTTATCTTATATGAATTTCTTCAAATACTCCAAACGTTGCAGTCGACTATTAGGAGGCGATTTATACACAGAACCTTTTTTCTAGAATTTTATTGCCAAGTGTTGCAACGGTCTCTGTTGTGGAACAGTGCTTCAAGGCCAAAAAAAACAAAAAGCCTATGACAACAGTAGCTGTTTTAGATGGTATGACACTTGTATGTGACATGTGTGACACGCCTGAGGTGCGTCCACCTACCATTAGTTACAGTCATGTTGGTTCACACTTCTCTATTGTCAACAACAAAAATACAACTTTTTCTTTTCCTTTCATCAAAATTAATTAAGCAGCTTTTGGTGGAAATTGCTTGGTAATTGATGCCGCATTGATCCATGCACAAGATGATGTACACCAGCCAATGCTTGCCGGACACAGGCAAGCATTAGCAAACATGCTAGACACAGTCAAGCACCGGCCAGTTTGGTAGACATAAGACAGACAGAAGTGAGGGTCTCGGGGAAGCCTCTGGCGCCAGGGAACACTGTCAGAACACCACACTCTGAAGGACAACCTTGTCCTAGTGCACACCTTCCTCTCTCACACTCCCCAGCTTCACTACTGCTGCTGCTGCTACTACTGCTGCTGCTGCTCCTGCTGCTGCTGCTGCTCCTGCTGCTGCTGCTCCTGCTGCTCCTGCTGCTGCTGCTCCTGCTGCTGCTGCTGCTGCTGCTGCTACTGCTGCTGCTGCTGCTGCTGCTGCTGCTGCTGCTGCTACTACTGCTGCTGCTGCTACTACTGCTGCTGCTGCTGCTGCTGCTACTACTGCTGCTGCTGCTACTACTGCTGCTGCTGCTCCTGCTGCTGCTGCTGCTGCTGCTGCTGCTGCTGCTCCTGCTGCTGCTGCTCCTGCTGCTGCTGCTCCTGCTGCTGCTACTGCTGCTGCTGCTGCTGCTGCTGCTACTACTGCTGCTGCTGCTACTACTGCTGCTGCTGCTGCTGCTGCTACTACTGCTGCTGCTGCTACTACTGCTGCTGCTGCTCCTGCTGCTGCTGCTCCTGCTGCTTCTGCTGCTGCTGCTGCTCCTGCTGCTGCTGCTGCTGCTGCTACTGCTGCTTCTGCTGCTGCTGCTGCTGCTGCTGCTGCTACTACTGCTGCTGCTGCTACTACTGCTGCTGCTGCTCCTGCTGCTGCTGCTGCTGCTGCTGCTGCTCCTGCTCCTGCTGCTGCTGCTGCTGCTCCTGCTGCTGCTGCTCCTGCTGCTGCTGCTGCTGCTGCTGCTGCTACTGCTGCTGCTGCTACTGCTGCTGCTGCTGCTACTACTGCTGCTGCTGCTACTACTGCTGCTGCTCCTGCTGCTCCTGCTGCTCCTGCTGCTGCTCCTGCTGCTGCTGCTGCTGCTCCTGCTGCTGCTGCTCCTGCTGCTCCTGCTGCTCCTGCTGCTGCTGCTGCTGCTCCTGCTGCTGCTGCTGCTGCTCCTGCTGCTGCTTCTGAAGTGGGCCTCAGGGTGTGTGTACTTACCTAGTTATGCTGGCGGGGGTTGAACTTTGGCTCTTTGGTCCCGCCTCTCAACTGTCAATCAACTGCTGTACAGATTCCTGAGCCTACTGGGCTCTATCATATCTACATTTGAAACTGTGTATGGAGTCAGCCTCCACCACATCACTGCCTAATGTGTGTGTGTGTGTGTGTGTGTGTCTATGTGTGTGTGTGTGTGTGTGTGTGTGTGTGTGTGTGTGTGTGTGTGTGTGTGTGTGTGTGTGTGTGTGTGTACTTGCCTAGTTGTGCTTGCGGGGGTTGAGCTCTGGCTCTTTGGTCCCAGCTCTCAACTGGTCAATCAAATTATTCTGCGAAGTTACACAAATTTGCGCTCACTCAGTATTTGACATCATCCAATTTTGGGATTGGCCTGGATCTAAATCCCTCTGAAGACTCAGCTCGTGTAACTGAGATCTCATTCCAGCAGTACTTGAAGGTCTTGTTAAGAAGCCATCTCTGTGCCGGTAGTTCGTATATATCTCCAAGCATGCAGTAATATGGAAAATATTAGTCATATTACAGCCTTTGCACCAGCCACCTCTACTGTTAAACAATTCCAAACTGATGATGATCAATGATAGGAAAGAACTAAAAAGAACATTTTCTTCTTTTAGTTCAAAACATTTAGTTCTGTCGAACTAAAAAGAACAAATTTGTCAAAGGCTATCAATCCAAGCAACAGCCTGGTGGACCAAACTCTCACAAGTCAAGCCTGGCCTCGGGCCGGGCTTGGGGAGTAAAAGAACTCCCAGAACCCCATCAACCAGGTACAATCCAGGTACATCCATTGTCATCTGCTCTATGTAGACAAAGTTAGATATCTGTTCTACATATACCACTATGGACAATTGAGTGCTCAAGCAGGGAATGCTTGAATGGTTCATTTACAAGAGCAAACTACAGTTGGAAGCAGCAAGAAATAGGAGGAGGGGTGAGGCAGCAGCCTGGCACTGTAGCACCAGCCACAGTGCCGGGGTGAGGCAGCAGCCTGGCACTGTAGCACCAGCCACAGTGCCGGGGTGAGGCAGCAGCCTGGCACTGTAGCACCAGCCACAGTGCCGGGGTGAGGCAGCAGCCTGGCACTGTAGCACCAGCCACAGTGCCAGGCAAGCTGGTAGGATCATTAGCCGGGGGCAGCAACAACTACCTCTGGTGACACTGGCCTCCCTCCCTCCCTCCATGTAGGTTAGCTTAGCATTTTAAAAGCACCGAATCACCTGTGGTTGAGTGTTCAATAAACCCTTGAACTATATGTTTAACACTTCTCTAACCCTGTCCATAGAGGACAGAAGAAAATGTATATATGCTGGTTAGCATTGTAAATGTGTGGCCACGTCTGTGGTAGAAAAAAAAACCTCCCTCCCTTTACCCTTTTTACTTATTTCTTGATATATACCAGAGTTACATTCGTGTACAGCCAGCAGCAGGCGTAGCGTTACGGGCGGGTCCTTAATACTGTGTTCCCTGGAACACCACCCGCCAAATGGTTTAACAACCAGGTACTGGTACCCATTTACTGCTGGGTAAACAAAAGCTACAGTTAAGGTTTAGCGCCCAGTCAATCCTCCCCGGCCAGGATATGAACCCAGGCCAAAGCGCTCGCGAGACGCCAGACGAGTGTCTTACCACTACACCACGGAGACTGAAGTTCGGAGCGGACTGTATGTTTAATTTAAAATCACCTGCCTGACAGGCCTGAGGTGAGTGGACAGCGCTCAGGATTCGTAGTCCTAAGGTTCCGGGTTCGATCCCCGGCGGAGGCGGAAACAAACGGCCAGAGATTCTTTCACGGTGATGCACCTGTTCACCAGCTTACCTGTCTGCCAGCCACCAGCTTACCTGTCTATCAGTCACTGACTGTCTCCCACCTTGACAGTGTTGTGTCATCAACACCAATAATGCTCGAGGAGTCGCTGGTGACCAAAACCATACTTTCTCTGCTCATGACAATTTAGTGTGTAAAAATAAAGCCTTTTCTCACCCTTAAAAACTCATTCCGTTCAGAATTCTACAAACTTTACAAAGTTAGCCAATAGACTTTCCTTTATATTATAGTACGTCGCCGCGGGAACAATTTCCCCGGGAAGCCAGGAAATTGTTCAGGCGATTGTCTAAGTCAATTGTCTTAACAATTGAGGAGACA